CTATTAACGATGACCATGATCTCCTCGTAACCTTAACTAAGGTTAACTAATTTCAGGTGCTTAGTCCGAACTATGTAGAGACAAAAACTGTCTAATAACGAGTGAGTTGTGTTGCTCATGTTCCAACTATCACTTGACAGTAGTATGCTACACATCACATTAATACTGTCCAGTGTCAGTTAGAATAACCAACCAAGCACATACAGTGTATGATGAATCACGGTTTGTCTCGTCTGTGTATGACATGAGCATTTGTGCAGTGGCTAATACGAGTGGTGCTGGAGAATGTTTTGTTGTGACAATCTGACAACAGGTCAGCTGGTGTAACTGACCGTTTACGAAACAAAAGGTAAATGGGATGCATTTAGACACAGTGTTTACATCACACCGGTACTGGGCAGGCCCTCCCTTGACTCTCAAAGGGGGCCGCAATTCTTACTGGCATGGAAGAATGGTTATCTGAGTTACCATAGCTTTTCTGTCAGCTTCAACCAGCCTTGGATCAACAAGGCATTTCCTTCTGCAGTTCTGCTGCTCACTGAATGTTTTCGGTTGTTTCACACCATTCTGGGTGAACTCCAGAGACTATAGGGCATGAAAATCCCAGTTTAATCCCAGTTCTCCCCAGAAATACTCAAACCAACAGTCATGTCAAAGTGTCTGACATCACTTTTTTTCCCTCCGTGAACATTAACTGAAGCTCCTGACCTGAATCAGCATGATTTTATTCGCTGCACTGCCGCTACATGGTTGGCTGATTTGATGTGAGCAGGAGCACAGGTTCTTCTGATACTGTGCTCGATGTGTGTGTCATTTATTTGTGCTTATGATTAACTTATTGTCATCTAATGCCGCTGCCCCAGCCTTTATTATTCTGGCTCAGAGTGTTTGAGTGCCATGCTGAGATGACTGAGTTCAGAGTGCAGTGTTGTGGTGAGGGACAAATCAATGACTGCTGTTACATCAGCCTCTCCTTCCAGATCTAATCACTATGATCAACTTTTCCCATGGAATTCTTTACATGGAAAGTAAAGTAAGATTGTACCCATGCTGTGCATCTTTACTGCGCTTAATAAAAAGGCCACTTATATAGTAACCTTTTTTCCAGGTAATATAGAAGGAGATGATGTCTTTTTGCCTCTGTGTCTTGTGTCCGTCCCTCAAGGCGTCGCTTTTAAAGCCTTCAAATCCTTTCACACATTTGTGTCAGCTGAAAGCTTACCTGAGGATGCAACTGAAAAGAACAGACTGTGCTAGCAGGCTCTTAGGTCTGTTAAGGTTACGGGCCGGAGAATGTTTCTGTGAACGTTCGTGTGTGTGTACATTTCTGGGGAGATGACTGCATGTACGTGTGGATGCGTTCATCTGCAGGCAAGCTATTCCTGAACAACACGAGTAGAAATGGAACGATAATAGACTTCTCTACTGAGACAAAGCACTGAGGCTTTCATTAACAAGTCCTCTTGTCTCATGTCAGAGGTAAACATTTGTTTTCAATTTTTGATAAGATTAATATTTTGGCATTTTGCCTTCACTTGATCATCGACAGTCTTGAGGGAGAGACAGAAAACCATGACATTTAGCTGATGCTTTTATCCAAAGCTACTTCCACGCATTCAACATCTATGAGGGGTCATTTGCGGTTCAACATCTTTCCCAAGGACTCTTCGGCACAGGCTGGGATTCAAGCCACCAACCTTCTCGTTGGAGTACTACCACTCTACCCTCTCAGGCACAGCCGACCACAGACGAGAGAAAGATATGTTTTTTTTGGTTTTTTTCAAATACTGCATCAAAATCTGTGATTCCCTGTGAGCATTTCAAAAATACATCTATCAGTTTGTTTGATGCCACAGCGTTGCTGCATAGATGACCCTGACTGTAACCTCTGAACTAGGGTTCAGATACAATTAGCTTTGCGTACACTGCATGCTTGTTTCCACCAAGAATGATGCTTTCATTTTATTTTTTAGGCTACATAACAGTAAAATAACTTTAATCTGTTCTGAATCTAGAGCTGCATCAGAGCAGATATCAGGCTTTTTGGGATTATAACACTGACCTCTGAAAGACCTGGACCAGTTGAGGGAAATCTGCAGGTGAGGCTGAAACCTTTTCCAGGCTAAACAATATTGTTGACGGAAAACTGTGGTGTTGTTTTGTATTTCCTCACAGTCACAGAGGAATTACAGCCACCTCACCCTCAATCCCTCAGCCCCACAGATGACGGTTTTCCACGATCTTTCTTTTGGACTCAGTTAATTCTGGATGTATGTGTTATACATTTATGGTGATGGATCATACATGGAAAATCCAATGTCTACCCTAAATTATGTAAATCATATTTTTCGATTTTGTGCAATTTGTGCATAATAAATAAATACAAATATAATTTCAAAATTCAATAAATTTCTGGTATCACACCACTCATGAAATGAAAACAGTCTCCTTTCAGTTGTAACAGAAGCATCATTCTCATTAAATGAATACAAGACAGATACTGCAAAGACAGTTGTGATCCATGTCACAGGAAGGTCGGTGATTCAATGCCTGCCACCTTCAATCCACATAATGTCCCCTGCTGGCTGGACTGGTAGTTAGTGAATGTGCTGTGTGTGAATGGATGAATGTGACTTGAAGTGTGAGTGTGAAGGCTTTTACTGGTTGTAAAGACCAGAACATTTTTTTTATATAAATGCAGTAATGCCACCTTTTGTTAGTAGCCTGAGTCACAACGTTTCCCTGTTGAGATGCTAACATAAATGCTCTGGAACAAGAGTTGAGACGTGTGTGAAGGGATTAAGGCATTTCGGATGCGAGAGTAACTTTTGTGCCACGTTGAGAGACTTGTGTGTTACCATTGTTTTCATCCACCCCTCCAAAGTGATTCTTGAAACTCTGTTTTTGACTCCTATCGTTTCCTGTTTGTTGTGACATCTCTTTCCTTGTGTGTCTGCTGGTTGTTTAACCTCCTGTCATTGTCGATTTTCTCATTTTTACGATTGTCTGCCCCGCCTTGTTGTTTTTCACCTGCGTCCTATTATCCCTGCCTCTTGTGTATTGAGTCTCTCTGCTCTCACTCATTATTGTTAGTTGGTCTGTTCAACTTCCCACTGTCTCCTTGTGCTTCTGTTGTGTAGACATGTCTTTGAGTAGAATTTACTGTGTGCATCTGCCTGGCTCTCCACCACCTGGAGCTACTGTAAGCCTGTTTGTTCTTATTAATTTTCTTCTCTGCACCAGCCTTCTTGTGTCTGTATTTGGGTCCAGTGATGATTGCACTGGAAGAACCACTTGTTTAAAAACTAAAGTTGGAATGGTTGTGGAGTGTACGCCATGCACCACTCACACCCTGTCCACACGAATGGGGATACTTTGCAAAACAAACTTTTTCCCTCTGAGTTTGGGCTCTTTCACAATCAAATCTCATCTTAAGTCACTAAAATGGATGTTTATACAAATGCCAAAGTGCAGATTTTCAAAAACGGTTTGTGTGTATTCAAGTATAAATGTGAATCAGTAATGAAAGCTATATAACCGGTACCTCTATGTTTCAGTGGCACTGCTAGTTCAAGAACTACACGTTTGCAGCTAAATTTAGAATCACTGTACTACATTACTGACATGCACAGGCATTTTCCTTGGCCAATATTGCTTGGACCACATTATTCTTTTAGACAAAGCATGGGTGTAGGCTTTGTTTTAGCATTTGGAGTCATTTTTGTGTTCTCATCTCAATGAATATATTTTGTTAAACCAAGGTTGTGTGTATGGACATCATTGTAGATACAGGAAAATATTTGTTTAGAAAAATATCTGCAGTAGTGTAGACAATGCTTAAGTTTCACAGCTTGAATTTGGTCAAGGATGTATGTTGCATACCAAATACAAACCCAAGCTCAACAGACTACATGCTGGTACAAATATAATCTGAAGAGAGAGTAACTTAATGCAGGCCAGACATTTTGTGATCTCTATCTAAAATCACACAAACTTGACTTTCTGTTTGATGTGGGTTAATGTAGATCTGATTTCTCTGAGCGTGATCACTATTCTGAGCAAACATGGGACTCCATTTTGTGACACACATTGCCAGGAGCAATATGTTGCAAAGTGTCTGAAGTCAGTACAAGCGGTAGATGCCGCTGTAGAGGCACTACCCAAACTTGTTCCTGAGCGCTTCACTAGGGACAGACAATTTAGTCCTCACACCTTTAAGCCAGAATTGATACGAATCAACATCAAAAAGTAATGAAAACAGAATTCTGAGTCCCTGCAGTGGCCTTCACATTCCCACTGTAACTTCAAGCCTCTTTAGGTTCCCTGTTGCGCCTCCAGGGAGATTTTCAGACTAGTACCTGAAACTAACAGAAGTAGATTTGAACTCTCATTTGGTGTAATGTAGGTTGAGAAGACATGTCCAGTGACTTAAAGAGGACAATAGTGTAACTGGATATAGGCAAGTTAAAATGTGCAGTATTGGGACCAAGGTTTAAAGATTCAGTGTGTAAGATTTAACTGAAACGATCTATTGCCAGAAATTGAATATAAGATCATCCTAGTGATGTTTTCATTCGTGTGTTTCATCTAAATTGTACAAAGTATTCTTTTCTTTACCCTAGAATGGGCTTGTTAGAGTTAAATACTTTGTATTTACATAAGGAGCAGGTCCTCTTTACGGAGGCCGCCATGTTCTCTAAAGTAGTCCAGACTGGACAACTTAAACACCCTTTGAGTTTCTATGACAACTGAAGGCTTCCACAGGTTCTCTGTCATGTTTGGAAGGGGAGGGTTAGGTGAGGGGTATTCAGCTGCAACATGCAACTTCACCACTAGATGTCACTAAATTCTACACTTGGAACCTTTAATGATGCAACCTGCCCAAAATTTGTCCGTATATTTTTAGGTGTGGTTGTGCTGACACCTAAAGGTGTGAGCATGTGTGCAGGCGTATTCTTTCCAGAGGCAGCTCAGTACTGACCTGTGCCTTTGTCCTCAAGGGATCAATATCATGGTGAGCCAGTGTGGGGGCAACGATAGCCAGTTTCATGCCAATCCATCGGCTTACCACCAACCCTTCATGCAGCCCAGGCACAAGATGTCGGCCAGGTGAACTAAACAGAAAAGAAGGAAACCTCGGCTCTTCCGCCAACCACACAGATAATGCTGGTTGCTTTCCACTTCATCCATGACATGGAACTCACGGAACCAGCCTGCTTAGTATGGACACCCACCCACCGACTGACTGTGACTGAGAGAAAATACCCTCATATTGATTCTGCTCTGTTGAGATGATGTAATTGAATATAGTGCAGGCAGGCAGACCCTTAATGTACTCATCCTTGGTGTGATGTTATTAGACTCCTCCTGTTTATGCAATGAACTCGTCATGAATGAAAAGAAAGTGTGAGTTCAGGGATGTGTGTGTTGGATAAATGTCCAGTCAAGTGCTTTAGTTTTAGAGTATTTTTTTTAAATCACTGAACTTTGATTTTACAAAAGTAGAAAGTGGACTATGTGCAAGCTTAGTCTGAAGCTGCAAAGGAGAGGAACGATGAGAAGGACGAGAAGTGAGGATGAGGAGCAGCAACATAGGGGAGAAAGTGAGCTGACACATCCTCTCAGTACTCATATACCTTACGGCTAGTGTGTGTGTGTGTGTGTGTTCAAGTGAAGTGCTGGAGGCTCCATGCTGGAGTTTAAGTCTGTAGCAGCCCAGGATGCACACCCCACTGATCCAGACTGACAGGCTAGAACACAAGCTATAGTCCCTGGTCAATAGCCTGAATGCAAGTCCACTAACAGTGACCAACAACCAACAGTCAGCAAACAGCCTGGACAACAGAGAGCCTTTTTTGTTTTAAAACATTGCACATGGTGAGGTACTATGACTACCTACAATTCAGACTACTAACTTCTGTTATGAGGAAGTTTAAACTTTGAAATGTGCCTGGATGTCTGAAGGGACAAACGATGAGTTCCAAATCCAAATGTAGGAGGATTGAGCCAAAAGTGAAAAATAATCAAAATTTTAGGTGACAAAACCTACAGTGTTCTGGTGTGCTGCCTGCTGCTGCTGAGTGACTGTATATGTGTTTGTTTGGGCATGAATGTCCGAGAGAGGGGAGTAAATACACAGACTTGAATCATCCCAGACAAAATGGTTGGTGGATAATCAGTAAATGGTGGGTGACCCTGTCATTTAATGAAACCACAGCATCCCAAAGGATTATGTCCCTGTGTGATGATTCTTCACTTAATGATTTCTGTCCAATGCCAACATTCAGTTGCAAAGCAGAAAGCAGTGTGCCTATTGTGGATGGGCGTCCAGCACGCCCAGACTTCCTGCAGCAGACCACACTTCATGTTGTGCCGCGGATCTGCTGATTGACCTCTCCCCAATCAATGACCAAATGTGCATGAGCAAATTTTGCGGACACATTCACGTTATCGATCAGTACTCTGCAGACAGTCTCACTCTGCAGGGGTCTAAGTGTTACCTGTAGATGCTTCCACTTTCAAATGAAAACATTTGCAGATTGCTTCATCAATGTTTTCAGGTTCCCTCTTGGCATTCAGGGTAATCTGAAATATTGTCAATAAAATATATTTTACTTTTTTTATTTTATTTGATGTTCACACATGCGAATGATATTTGAACATGAACAAAATAGGTTTTAAGTCCTAAAGAATTATAAACACAAGTACCACTCCAATCCAACTGATTACTGGCTGTCCATGAGCCAACATAATCATGCACACTGAGGAGGCTGTAGCTGGATTATTGAAGCCTGGTAAACTTCCCTTTATGGACACAAAGTTAATTGCACAACTGTGATGTGAAATTATTTATAGAGGACTTTGTCAGAGGAGTTTACCCCCCCCCCATACCATATTCTCAAGATGACTGGTTCTCTCTGACCAGTGTGAGGTTGAAGCTGGACAGACCTGCAAGCTAAGCACATCCTTCAAATAGTCATAAGCACCTCTTCAATAAATCCCTTCCACGAGCCAAGTCCATGTGTGTGTGTGTGTGTGTGTGTATGTGCGTGCCTGGGTGCATGAACATCACAGACTGAGGTGAGATGAGATGCTTAAAATAGGACAGACAAAAGGATGGAGGGATGGCTCGCATGCTGTGATGTTGTGGGGATTTATCACACAACGACGGTGAGTGGAGAGATGGATGGATGGATGATGGGAAATAGAAGGAGGATATGGATGAGACCGACTAAAGCGCGGGCTGATGGAGTGTTTAGCTGGGTGACTGACTAAGCCATAAGTCTCTCGTGAGCCCGTATGCGCTCCCTCTCTCGCTTTATCTGTTCTACCCCCTCCTCTCTCAGCGTCTCTTTAAAACAACACTATGTTCTGTGTGGTGACAAGCCAGGATGAAATGATTGGCCCTTCGTTTTCCCTCGACCGCCCTCTCAGATAATCACTACACCTTCTGGCTGCCTCCACATGCTGACTCTACTTTATTAAAGCCAATCTCTCAATACATTATGTTATCGTGCTTAAGTGTCACTGCTTTGACTGGGGTGGGTTTCGAAACTGCAAATCTAGTTCCATAACTTTTCAAACCATATACCTTTGCAAAATTTCAATGTGGTCTCTGCTCTCTACACAGACTGCCTGAGTCAAGGTCACCAAAGACTTACTACCTGCAAGTGATACCAGCCTGAGTTCCTTTTTAATTTTCCTTGACGTCAGCTTTGATACAGTGGACCACATCAGCAGTCTTAAAACCTTCCTCTTGTGTCCCCCAGGGGTCTATTTTGGATCTCCTCTTATTGACCATATACATTCTGCCCCAGTATGGCATGCTATGTGGATGATGTCCAATTATATTTCCCTGCAGAGTTTGGTACAACGGATGCCTCCTGCATTGTGTCCTGCTTCACCGAAATTTTAACTTGGATGAGCAAACACCTCCTGCCCCCTGCGGCCCCAACACCACCAGCATCAATAATCTATCCTGTAGTCTGGCTGCCTTCTCCAATAATGTGTTGTTTTTGATTCAGAATTGTTCTCTGATGCTGAAGTGAGTAAAGTTGTACAGTCCTGCTTAGTCCAACTGAGACAGCCAGCTCAGATTGGGTCATTCTCTTTCCTCTGCAGACATAGAGAAGGTCACCCATGTTTTTATCTCTCCCAGACTCTACTACAGCAATGCACTCTATTTTCGTATCAGCAGGCGAAACATCCAACGACTGCAGTAGATAGAAAATGCTGCTGCCAGGCTGTTAACACGTACTAAGAGAAATGACCACATTACACCAACTCTTGCTGCCCTTCACTGGCTTCCTGTGAGTTTTACAATTGATTTTACTGCTCGTCTTGAATGGCCTGGCTCCTGACTACATCTGCGATCTGCTAACTCCCTACGAGCCTGCTCGCTCCTTCAGACCTTCTGGCAGGGGCCTACAAATGGTTACTGAATATAACTTGTCACCAAATGTGACTGACCCTTTGCTTTTTTGACTCGTCAGCTGTGGTTCTCACTGCAAAGTTGGCTCTCAGGCACACAAATCGTGTCCTCCTTTAAATCTTACCTTTTTAAATCTCTTCCCAGAATCAGTGTTGTGGTTCTCCATACTGTAGTGAGATGCATTCTCTTTTAATAAATTACAGCTCTGAAAAGTCCTTGTGTAAATGACAAATTTCTCTTTTTGTTACCAGAACCCAATTACCAAAATGTCTAAAACAATTGTTTTAATTCCGATTGACTACATCCTATTAGAATCACCTCCACAATAAAATGTGCAAAAAGTAGAGTAGTCTGAATAACAGACAGTCACTGAATTAAGGTCTTCACTCTGTCCGGAATTTATCAAACCTCTTGCACAATGTCAGCTGGGAGTGGCTCCAGCCATCCTGCAACCCTCTGATGATTTGAAGGATTCTATAGTTTATTTTTATTTGAGTTTATTATTTGAGTCAGTCTCCACACTCAAAAAAGTATGCTCATATATGCAGGTCGGAATCATATTGTCAAAATCAACAAATTTGCCCATGTAGACATGTGCAGTCCCCCGAAATACACGTCACTCTAATAGCTGTCATTGAGTGTCAGTGAAATGGCAACAGCGAGGCTGCAGGCTACCGTGGCTGATCTGAGCTCATTAGGACAGCGACTCAGACTGAGGGGATTCAGCTGGGATTTGTTACGCTGCAGCAGCACCCTTCCACCGGCCAGGAGGTGAAATTGAGAGAGATGAAGTGGAGGATGAAGAGCAGGGGAGTATGAGGAGAAGGTAAAGAGATGAAGTTGAGGGGCAGGAGGAAATTGGGAGCAGAGGGAAGAAATTGAGGAAAAAGAGAAGAGGGAAGGTGGCAGATGGTGGAAGAATTGAGAGAAGAAAAAGTGGAGAGAGGCAATGTAGGATAAAACACAAAGCTGATAAGGCAAGACAAAAATTAGAAGAGGGAACAGATAAAGAAGACAGCTGCACGACGGGAAAACTCACAATTTCTGGACCTTTTAAATGTTAACTAGAAATTGATGAATAAAAATATGCAAAATGGTTTGAGATAGCAGCAGCAAAAATGACAAAAAGATTCAAATTTAGTCAAATTGATGGCAGTTTGTGAGTGCTTAAGAGGAATGAGAGTGTGAGTGATGGTAGTACATGAAAAATAGCAGAGTGTATGCATATGTAAAGGACAAGCGAACAATGTGCTGCTATACACAATCACAGGTTTTCTGATGCATATGTATAAAAATTAAGTAAGGAGAGGAGATGGGGCAGAAAGGAGGAAATAAAGGGAAGAAGGGAGGAAATGGTATAAAGACAGTGAAGGGAAGATTGAAGAGGGATTTTCCAGTTGGTTACCCAGTCCTGACCACGTGTGAAATTTGCTCCGAACATCCGGTGGCGTTCAATCACCAGTCAAGTGAAGCAACAAGGAAATTAACGCCAACACGGGGAAGGAGAAATGGGGAGAGTGATAGAAAAAATTGGAAAAGGCCATCTGAGAAAACACACATATATTCATGTGACATTTTGCAGTAGTGTTCCTCATGCTCCTCAAAGCATTTGGATTGAAAAGCGAGCACTGGAAAAGCTGATGTAACAACCATGAAGTCAGCTATTGAGTCATACTTT